AAACAGAATAAATTTATTTTGGACACACGCAGAGGTAAACAGCATATAAGAAACATCTTCTGACCTCAGTTTGAGTTAAAAATTAGCCCAACATTGTGCTGATTCGTAAGAAACAGCGTTGGTATTATGTTAGACACCTAAAGTGAAATTCACGGTCACTAAGACGTCTGTTAAAATGTGAGAGAAAGGAACACAATTAATATCTAACAAAAAATGTATACCAAGATTTTAAATGTAATGTTTAAAATATAAAATCATTTGGGAAAGAGTAAATAATTGTCTAAAGGCTATTATTTTGAATTCTTTAAATAAAATCATGCATCTTGTGAGCGTATAGTTAATTTTACGAATCTTTGTACTCAGTTTATCAGGGACACGTTCGATAATTATATATTACTTTACATTATTATCAATAAATAAACAATAATTACATCGATGTTTAAAGTAAGTTAATTTCAAGTTTTTTTTTTTTAAATGATGGTGTATTTTTATATTTTATGGCTAAATTATGTCGGACGGAGGGTGCACCTTAATGAAGCCTAAACGAAATGACTATGTGAAACTTGAATTATTAAAACCATACGATATTTTATGAGACTGATATGCCAAGGAGGTTTATATAACGGCTGTAGACTTAATGTTTTTTTAAGCCCCTACCTGGCTTTTCAATTACTAATGGAATTAAAGAGCGAAAAAAAACAATGGTATTCTAGAATTTAATGATATATACTTAGCCACCACGTAGCCAATTATTTTTTAACAGAAAGCTGATAATACCACCAAATTTTTAGGGTAACTTTATCTTCAACGAGATGAATAAAAATAAAAATGAATGAAAAATACACAAACTCGCCTAGTTTGTGTATTTTTATACGTTGTGTCTCTTTGTTGATTTTTATTATTGAACAATTAATTCAATTAGGTATATGGATATTGTAGGGTTTTGATAAATTGGTAAGAATGCCATAACACCCTTTTACAGATGTATTTCAAGGGTTTCCAATGTATACAAAATTCAATTCACAAGCAGACACATATCAGACGCATAGGTGGGTGTAAAATTTCTAACACCCCTCTATTTGCTACTGTAATTTAAAATATTGACCCCTAGCACTTTTCATTTCCGTATTATTATTTTTTAGCAAAAATAGGAAAACCTTCAGTAGGGTTTTAAATATGGTTCTTCAGCAAAAGAATGCACGAATTCAATTTACAACAGTCTACCCTAAAGTTATTTTTCCCAGTCTTCAGGAACATTCTGAATATTATATTAGTCTTAGTTGTACCTAATTGTGTAAAAAATCTATAAAATCAAATCTAAACTACATCCAGTTTTGATATCGGATCCTAATGTTTGATAACTTTGACGGGCCCGTTGGTCTAGTGGTTAGTGACACTGACTGCTAAACCGGAGGTCGCGGGTTCGATTCCCACCCAGAACAAATATTTGTGTGATAAGCACGATCGTTTGTTCTGTGTCTGGGTGTAATTTATCTATAATATGTATGTATTTAGAAATATAAAAGTATGTTTATCAGAAGTCTGGTTACCATAATACAGGCTCTGCCCAGTTTGGGATCAGACAGCCGTGTATGAGATGAGATAAAAAAATAAACTAATTACTTTAAAAAATCAATCCGAAAACCTTTTCTTATCTTACTTATTACTTTCTGTTATTGATAAGTAATTGAGGAAAAAATTTGTGAATGTGATTAAAATTGCGTAGTTCACTTACAGTTAAAAGTAGTTTCAGTGATATTAATATGTATTTAAAAGTTAAAGGGCGAAAAGGAAAGGGTAATTGCTTATGCATTGGGATGTACAAGATAAAGGTTAAATAGCTAAGGTCGCTTGCATGTACCTCGAATATATGGCCGGGAGTTCCATGTCCTCTAATAGAAAATAAATATTAATGATTTATAAATATTAGGCTCTCTTCTTTTAACGCAAGCAAATATTATTATTAATGAGTCGATAAGATTAGTGATAATTTATCCGCGATAAGACTTAAGCTTCAAACTGATTGTCAAATGTGTAGGTATAAGAAGTAATAAATCGAAAATCGACCCATATTTCGACAATCACTTATATCGATGGTAAAAGTCTAATTTTTATTTTTCATAAATTTGATTTGATTCATTTCATTTCATTACATAAACGATTTGATACATTTCAAATTCATTGGCTTACAACTTACTTAAAGTTAATTTAAGCCATTTACAAATATAAAAAACCGTTATACTCAAATCCATAAAATACAATATATATAAAAATCCATTATTTACTGACCCCACAAATGCTGTCTTGTCAAAATTTTAATTTTGCTCCCATGTTGTAAAAAGTAAAAAGAACTGCCAGCTTATCCTAAATTTCCCCCTATATGCCGGAAAACCGTTCGCGCTGTGAGTAACGTTAAAAGCAAACAAAGCCAAAATTACAAGGAATAGATAAAATAGACTTGTAATGTGTTTATGCATATAAATAGAAAACTAATGTAATATGTATAAGTTTATGTTTTAGAGCGATTCTCTGTAAAAACGTTTTCGGCCCATACTTTCTTAGAACAGTTATTTTGATATTTGTCCTATTGAAAACAACCTACGTAACTTAGGACTAGTTAATTATAAGTTAGAAGGAAACCATTAAATTCATTACTATTTAGTTGTATTGTGTGTCATAACTAAATAAAAATATATTTATTTTGAAATATGGATGCAGGGGGCTGTTAAAGAAATAAAACCACATAATGTATAACTGAGTGCTACTGAGGTTTACTAGCCAGTACAAGCAGGACATCGCAAAAAGTGTGTGATTATATAATATGAAAATACAGCGAAATATGAATGAATTACTTTTTGTCATTCTCACTCATCTTTAAACTTTGCACTTCTCAAGTGGTAATTAATTAATGTACTATTAATTAATTAATGTGAAGGTAACTTCTAATTAATTAAGATTTTATTTACTTTCAACATTCATAATTTTTCTGTTTAGAAGTTTAGAAACTTTTTACGAAATAAATAATATTAATAATGTGGGGCATATTTTACATTAAGCATGGTGGTGTACTGTAAGTTGTACACACATTATTATATAATACGATGATACGTTTCATACAACAATAGAGTACAGACTAAGACATATTTATGATGACATCCAAATAATTAAATTGAGTTTGATTCGAACTTGTGACATTTAGTGTTTGATTTGTGAAACAAGAAAAAACGCATATCCACCAACTAGATTTGTGAATCAACATTCAGTAACATTTTCGGAAATAAAATTTGTATCGAATAGTGGTTACTCTCTAGCTATCGATTTTGTTTCAATTAAGATTGATGTTCGTGAGTGTCACGTTATGTATTACGACTGTAGCCGTAGTTAGATGGCTGCCTCTAATACGCTCGACCCGTACACTATCAGATGACGCTCTTTTGTTTTATACAAGTACTTCAGCACGTCCTGGCTGGAGACTGCCTCGCTCCGACCCACCGGTTATGTAGAGCAAAGGTACTAAGATGCTCTGGAAGGTTGACTTAAAAACGACTGAAGAATTAGAGTCGTAACCTTAACAATGCATCAATTATTAATTTATATATGTAGTTAGCCTTTTGTTTTGTATATCAAACCTAATCACAGAGTCAAGTATACAACCAACTAAGATAAAGTTAAACACAAAGATTTTTTTTAGGAGAGCAATGAATGTCATATAAAAAGATTCTGTTAGTATGTAAGAAAAACGTACGCCTCTAATTGGCGTACCCAAACCTTCAACAATGACATATCGTGCAAAAAAAATATATAAACCAAACAAACTTATGACTATTGCCTTATTATTCTTTTGTTATTCAATAAAAATTTCATTGAGCCGTAAATACTAACGAAGCAGATTGAATGTTGTTACAAACTATTTATTATTTCAAATTGTTTTATAGATACTTAATTGAAAAGTTAATAGCAAAAAGTCTCTAATGCCTCAAAGTTTAGATAAAGAGGAAATATTGTTGAGAAATCTAAGGTGTTAAAACCCTGCTGAAATGATACGGCTGTTGTTGTTTTCACGCGTAGTAAGCGGATAAACGTCAAGTGAATAACCGGGCGTCAAACCACCAACTTAATCTGCCTCCGTTGAAAATATGCCCAATATTTTTATTTTTTACAGAGTTAGCCCAGATAACTATTCTTCATTAATATAACACATTTTGCAGAAGAAAAATGTTACGATGAATCGCGATTATTACAGTTATTTGGATGTCACAAGGAGGGTGCCATGTGCCTCTTCCCTTTGGGTGCAACCCACCCTAACTCGAATTGAAAATGGGGTTGTGATTCATTTCCCACGAGCCCCACGCTGCACTAAACAAAAGCCTCAAACATTATTACATTAAACTCACTACATTGAAAAAAAATCGTCGTTTACTACATCTGTTGTTTAATGGTCGAGTCTAAATAATATTATCCAAAAGGCTAAACTTTAAAAGCAATCATCATATTATACAACACAGGTAATTTCTTCTTCACACAATAATTGATCAAAAGTTGACGATCAATTTTACATAACTGTCTTTAGAAATAATAATACTTATACGTATACATTGAAGAATTGGAAGTTTATTTTCTGTGACATTTCATAAAGTGAAAACTCTCCAGCGATAATGATGTTTCTTCGGCGTAACGCATTATATTTATTTTCAGTAAGTGCTTTGTTTGACATTTATACCTGCGTGGAACAACTTCCGTGTTTGATGTAATTTCGCGATTATGCCTTGTATGTATTGTACATGTACTTAGCTGCCGGTGGGTTAGGTATAATGTAGGTAGCAATGAGGTGCGATAACGCGCTAACTGTGCGATACGGTTGCTGTTTCAGACCCGACACGAGTCGACTGCGCACGAGCATTCAAGTTTACGTGTCACTTCAGTTTCACATAATGCTCTCGTTGCATGGAAAATACAAAAAGCTATTCGTGACAACAAAAAAAAAGATGAAATTAACTTACAAAGCCATAGCCTCTGCTCTTGCTCGTCTGTCTATCTGTGATGACTACAGCCTCTTCGATATCCCCATAGACTGCAAAGTGTTCCCTTAAGCTCTTGTCTGTTGTATGATATGGGAGTCCTCCAACGAAGAGTTTGGTCCAGGTGGTGTCTTTTTGGCCTGGCAGTCCGCCCAATGCCAGCAGCCCCTCGGGCTCGGCCGGCAGAGCGCCCGCCATCAACATGCCTTGCACAGCCTCCGTCGCGCCGGCCACCGTTGCACTCTGCTAACACTGTCACTTCGGCCGCTGTCGCGGTTCAACAGGTCTACGAGCGGCACGAGTGTGTAGGTTAAGTTACAGTAGTAAACACTGGTGTGTGCGGGTGCGACCGTTCGTCGTGGTGCTTGAGCGCGGACTGATGCTCGTTCGGAGCGCACGTGGCGCTCCGGTACTAATTTTAGCCCCCGCCGCGCCCCCCTCGTCACCAGATGCGTCGGCACCGTCCCGGCCACATGCGTAGCGTGCCCTACCAATCCTACCATGCCCTACTGCCTGCTACCCTCTACTCACGCTAAATGATATGCCTCGTTATCACAACCGTGTAGCTCCTCATTTCTTATGTCTTGATCGTTTTGCAAAATTATGGCCAGCTGAATGTCCGTTACCTGCAACGTTTACTTGTACTTGGACATCCATGCATAAGTAAATAAACTAATACTTTATTACAGGAATTTATCGATAAAGTAATCATGTCGCTACTTCAATACCGAAAATTGTTACTTAGTGTGACTTATTGGGTCACTTGCTTCTTACTATAGTAACTTTCCAGCAATCGCTTCCCGTGGATATTGTAAGAAATGATAAGGTGTATTTGTTTAAACCACGAGAACTTCAGCATATAACTGTACTTTAAAAAGTTGATGCTAATTTTTTCATTTATAAATGGCAATATTAAAGCAACTCTTTGAAAAGTAGTAAATGGAATATAAAAATTTCTTCCTTTCTTCTTCATATGCTAAAGCGCCAGGTTAGCGCAGTTTGCAAGACTCTCGGAAGCATCTTCCAAGAATTATGTATAAGTCAACAAGAAGTTATTAGCAGAAGTTACTATTTTTTATCTTCAATATATCTGTACATTTACGCAAATAAAATGAAAAAAAAACTGTTCATTCTACAAATAAATTGAAAATAAATAGTTTGACTTCACGGATGGCATAGTGGTTTCAGCGGTCGACACGCCGCTTCCTACTATGCTGAGTGTAGTGGGTTCGATTACCCACATGGGACGACACTTTGTGTGATCCACAAGTTGTCATTCTGAGTCTGGTTGTTCTTTGTGTCCGTTTCATGTATGTTTGTAACATCCCCCGCGACATAGGATATATTCCTAGTGCGGGAGCTGTTTTTTTAAAAAAGAAAATAAAGCGAAAAAAGTTATTAGATACCTACTTCTAGTAAATAATAATTTAAAAAAATCTCTTGTGTCATTTCTTTATTATTTTAAATATTTTTAATTGAAGTTCTTTATCTTTTTTTTAGTAATATGTATTTAATTACATATTAAATGTGAACAGGTGTTTGAAGGTTAATTTAAGAATGCAGATGTTGTGGGATTTCTGCTATATAAAACACAGAAGGTTTTATTTAAATTTCGAATGTAGTCGGGCAATTGTGTGGTTTGTAAGTCACCTACACTGATGTCGCAATTCCATACACTTGCTTGGATATCTAGTGCCGCGACATAGCAACACATAACAGAAATTCTAAATTAAGAATTAAGCATTTGTACATATTATGTACCCCGATATAAAATCAATACTACTCACCCTCTGAGCCAATTTGTATAAACTACATCACCGACTGAAAAACAAAACATAATTAAAAATTTATTGAATACAAATAACCTGTAACACGTTGCTTGTCAGAGCAAAAAGCATTTCCAATTTGCCTGTTTGATTTTCGTTACCCAAACCTTTTTTGATTATTAAGAATATTTAAAAAAATTGTTAAACCGATATTAAAACACTAACAAAGAATAATAAAAAGTGAAAAAGAATTGATTAAGTACAAACTTAATTGAAGTCATTTAATTAAGTTTGTAATCAATTATTTTTGGCATTGGCACTATTATTAGGTATAATAGGTAACATAATAAAGGCACTAGGTTTTAGTGTGTTTAAAGCCGTTTCTAAGCTAAAAAGGTGATTGATAGATAGGCCACGTCACTTGTAATAACAATACGTATGTAGAAAAATTGATAAAACTATATTAACCAATATCTGTTGTGTGTAACTCCGATACAAAATCATATAGGTATACAGCACATTCTCAAAGGAGAACCTGTACCCCTAGTAATATATGATGGATGATCATGAAATTTGTACCGTTTATAAAGTGAGTCATCCTAACAATTTTCATGTAATTATCATATTTTTAGAACTTTGCTAGAGTAAATAAATTAATAAATTAAATTAAATAAAGTAGGCCAAAACCTCTTTTCTAAGGAGAGGCCTATGTCCAGCAGTGGACTATTAAAGGCTGTTGATGATCATGATTAAATAAATTCTTCTCGAAGAATTGTAACAACTGCAAAACCTAAACGTTAAGTGTTGTTAACAAAACGCATTCCCATGTTTTCTAAACTTGCCATGCATAAAATATAAATTACATAAAAAAAAACAAATGTTTAAATCGAGATTAATTATTAAGCTCACTTGTATTTAACAGTTAAAAACAAGCATTTCTTTATTAATAATGTTGGCATTATGTGAACATTGTGTAAAAAAGTAATTCAACTGACTTGACAGGGCATCATTTTATTGACGTATCAAGAAAATCCTAAAAGATTGATTTTGAAAGATATCTAGGTTAACTTGTTGACAACAGTGGCAAATCATTTGTGACATCCAGTTGTCATTGGTATCGACTTCAGTACAGCCTGTATTCAAACTACAAACTGAAATAACTTTTCAACGCAAAGTTCTAAAAATCTGGTAATTGAAACTGTAATTGTTGATGATATTCCCAGCCAAATAAATATAACAATAATCCCTACCGTGAGATACGCAAGGCGGTACATGAATCTCATACATGCTTGCCATTGTCTTTTAGATTATAGCGGCATTAGAAACAATTATTGTGTTTGAAACGAAACAACAACCATTTCAAATTGAAAATATCGCAGTCCACTGCTGAACGAAGGCCACCGAAAATCCATTACTTTAATATAATCTATTTAAATTGAATTTTCGGATAGTATCGTCGTTTCTATATCAGTATTGACAAACACAGACACTAGCTTTTTTGGTGGTTCTCAATAATACACTCATAACAAACACTTTTAATTATTATTACTTAATTTAAAAAATCGTTTTTTTATGTAAAAAAAGATTCTTTACATAAAAAAATAATTGAAATCGTATTTTATGTAGACTCGTAAAGTCATAGATCAACACACAATACTAACAAAGTCTGTTTTCTTCAAAATAAATATGATTCAATTATACCTATCGAAAATCTACTAAATGCCGGGCCGATCTACAACCGCCCGTTTCCAAGAGGTTGAGCCTTAAGTGAAGAAAGCAATAACCGTTCGTAGTTTCGTGGTTGTAGAAGCAACTAAGCTGAATGTTGTGGCAATCCTGATGAAGCCATTAGTTCTACCCTCAGATCATACAAACAAGGGAGATTCGGTAAGGGGGCGTGGCCCTTGCGAACGTATTAGGCCCAAAACAGGCTTGATGTCCCAATTTGTTGATTTCGAATGTTGTGTAGCACTACATCATTTCTAACGAATTTAACAAAATGCCGAATTGTTCAGTGGTTGTATGTATGATCTGAGGTCCTATGGTCTGGACGAATTTCTTTATTAAAAAAAACCTTAATGTACGTCATAAACACAATCAAATCGTTTTCAACAGCCAACCGTATCTTTATAATAAACTAGTTGTACCCTGCCTCGCTTCCCTGTAGCATATTGTAGCTGCTTTGGTAAAAATTGGGGAAGAATTAAAAAAATCTAAATAAATCCAATTTTATTGAAAAAACCAAAACAAGTACGACCTTCAAAATAACAGATGACAATATAATAACAATAGATACCTTCGAGTCTGTTTGAAGTTTTTTCAAAAAGATTTGTAATTATTTTTTTATTTTGTTTGAAGTCGGTTCAAATTTTTTCATTCATTTCATTCAAATTTATTTTACCATTTTTAGTTGAAGATACGTTTTAATAGGTAGATACGATATTTTAAACTCTACGAATATTAAATTTAGTTTATTTGGATAAGGTAAAAAAATTATAATAATAATTAAATATTGTTTTTATTAAATTATTTATTTATTAAATTTAAACTCGAAAATAAATTGTTTTCCACATTAATTAATTTTCACCATTAGGAGTTGTGTTTTTTCTTCAAATTAGAATGGAAACAAAAGGGCACACTTTACAATGAAAAAGTTTTGAGTTAAATGTAATATCATTTATCACGTTCTTGGGCACAAATCTCTGTAACCCATCACAAACACCTAATAAAGAATAAAACAAGGTCAATTCATGATTATATTATTGAAAAAATCATTCCCTAACTTCTAAAGGTAAGGGACTAGCACGAGCAGTCATCTGTAACCCGTTGATGGCCCGGAGAACGTCAGGGTACTAGTTCTTTCCTAGTCCTTTCGTCCTTTTCTAGTTTACTCGGCTACTGATGGTTTTAGTCGGTTGGAGGTATCCGAGTAGATTTGTAGGGGAGGGTAGGATGTTTGATGTTGTTTAACTAAATACCGAATAATCGTCTTGTTAACTCTTTACTTACAACAAGTAAAAGACCATTAATAAATCAAAGGGTGCTTTTTCATTACATAAAAAGTAACTCATTAATATGAGAGACATTTCCTGAAAAAGTGCAAAAGGAATCAGAAGATCAGGTAAAATAAACAGTCCACACAATTTCCATCACATCTCAATCTCATATCATTGTTATAAGATATTTATAATTGTTGTACGGAATCAATGGCCGGTTTCATATGTCGTCCGAGCGGAAGTGTGCGCGGCAGTGCGCGGGCGCCTACGCTGTGGGAACCGTATTGTTCTTGTGAACACACTATGTGGAACCGATCGCTTCCTCCGCCACTACATGTTTCCTCTCATAATATACAACCTATTTGAAACTTGTCACTCTCCATTTCATTTTTTTCATAACTTTCGCATTGTAATGGTCATGAGTTTTGTCTCTTGTAGGTAA